TATTATATATGGTATCGATTTTATATACTGTACAATATATATTTATTAAAAAGTAATGAAATATATTGCTTTACAATTCAAATGCTTATAGTCAATATTAAATTTTAATATATCAATGTCTTTTATTATTAAAATAAATTGCAATATACCTATATAAAACCCTAGCTATTATTATTAACGTTTCACTCTCTACGTTTTCCTTTAGTATATAACATTCTATTTTCTTCCGCTTTACAAATTACTTCTACTGCTTTTCGGCTTACTTCAGTAACTCTTTTATTTACTTCTTCATATTCGCTAACTCTTTAATTTTCACTAGTTCTTCGATTTGGTTCTTCTTCTGCTCCTAGATTTGCTTTTTCTTCTTCTGCTCTTCGCCTTACTTCTTCTTCTACTCTTCGGCTTATCTCTTCACAATTTACTTCAAATAATGCATCATTTCTTTGAACCTCATTTTCTCTTTAACTTCCTTTACGATACGCAGTCGATATAGTCCAATCGGATGCATTATCTGGTGGTTTTGAGCTGTCTTTGTACAAATTGTCATCGTATCATCTCTTCCTTTGAACTTTGATATTCTGTATTTTAGAGCCAATAGCATCGGCACGACGAAGAATTTTTTTGATCTATAATAAAAGAAATATGAGTAAATTAAAGATTTGATTCAATAAATACTTTTCTTACCCTTCTAGACTGCCAAGATTTGTCGTATACTCGAATTACATGTTTATCTTTCAGTGACTTATTTTTTGGCCTAATATGTTCGTTAATTTCCATTCGCGTCTTTCATTATCTGTCTCTGACACTTCATCAGAATGATACTTGCCGTTGTCAATTATTTCTTCTAAATCTTCCCTATATTTTTTTTCTGACAAGCTTTGAGGTTTTGAGAAGGTCAGAATATCATTGTTGATATTGTACATGTGTATAATACCTTGTTTTCTTCTTTCTTTTTTCTAATTATAAAATGAAATGATAAATAAAATAAAGACCTACAGTAGCGGTCATAAGTATCTGACCGTCTCTAACTCCGGCTACAAGTAAGTAAATTCAAAATTTTTTTTTTTATTTAAAAAATACATAACCAACTAACTAAAAT